GTAAGCGATTAAGCTCAATGTTCTTAAGGGTGCAGTTAATCCCGTAAAACTAGTTTAGACCTTTCATCCCCTCTACCAAGAGATAACCTTTTGCCGTTAAAACGAATAATCAGTCAGTTGACTTGAAAATTGTGTGGTTGTGTGGAAAGAATGCAATAAGAACAACCCAGAACCAGTAGGGGTGAAGTGTTTAAACCATATACGGTTGCGATCAATTGAATTAAAATTAGACGATCTTGTAAAAAATATTTGTTCACCTGTTGTAGGTAATTTAAAGTAGATTTATAATTCTACTCTCTTTGTAAGATTTTCTCTATTGTGGTTTTTTCCCAGTCAGTTTAACAGTCTGACAGAATAAGAGAATGTCAGCTATAGCTTTATAATTTCGCGTGAATATGAGTTTCCTCTCAGCTTAGGTAAATATTGATATAAAAGATATGAATATTTCAATCATCCTGTTCAAGGTTTGCTTGCTTTTGACACGGGACTGAGGTGTTCCAAAAGATTTCCTGTTGGATTAAACTGAATTTTCAATTGTAAACTTTAAGTTGTCAATGCACTAGTTGCAAAATTGGTTTTCTTACACCCTCCACTGGGATTGTGCTGGGAACAGGTGCGATAGGAACTCTAGGAAGCGTCGAAGCTTTGAGCCTCCTTTATCTTCGCCTGAAGTCAAAGGAGATATCACTTATCGTCTTCCTTCCAGTTGCCGTAAATCAAAAATAGCGGAAATTAATTCAGGAGCGAGTTGGGCATTTTCAAATTTGCCACGTCAACTTCTACCTCGCGTCCTACTTCTAGTTTGCAGATTATTTAGTAAGAATGTGGAAATATATTCGACTGATTTTCAGTTTTGATCCGTCAATTTGTAGTAATTGTTTCTATCTTCTTATAACTTTATTTTTCACATTTATTCTATCTTTAAATTATTAGCAGTACGATGTTTTTGATTGATTTAAATTAGAATTCCCATCCCTATCAACTATGTTTATTACTAGAAAAATTGAATTTTAACTATTTTTAATAAAACTGAGCCGGTGTAAAAACGTGAAGGTATGCAAGGTCTACCTGCTCCACATAATTCAAAGTAGAGCTTAGAGGTTTAAAAAAAGCCATTTCTCATTAAGTCATACGGCTTCATTATACTTGGCGTTTGGCATTTTTATTACTGTTCTCAGATGTCTAGTAGTTAAAACTAGACCGTCTCTACACCTAAAAACCGGGCTCCATTTCTCTAATTGACGACGAAATGGTAGTTGAATGTAGGCTGTATTAAAAATAATAACCGTCACTGATTCGATCGTTATCATTTAAATAGTCTTTTCCTTTAGATTTCATCTTCTACATGCATAATCAGTTTTATAAAAGGCCCATCGTGCAGAAAATAAATAGTATTGGATGGAGAGGAATTTTCAATTTACCATTGTATAATATTTTATTCGAGATAAGATCTTAATCAATACTATAACTGTTTGTATTACATTACTAGCATATCTATTATTTATTTTAAATGAAACATGATTTAAACACATATGTCCCTTACACTTGGGTGGGAAGAAAATGTTTACACTCTAACCTATGAACGTAGCTATGCTGTTTTTGGTCAAAACAATCAAGATTATCAACTTAAATAGTTTTCTTTGTGGAGATCTTTATTTTCTTTGTTGCTTTTGTTGTTGATTGCCACATTTGAATTCTTTTCTGTTGATAAAGAAGAAGCTCCCTTTCAGGCTGTTTACCCTAAACATGATCAACGTTGGTGATTGTTAGTCTGCAAGTCTGTAAACAAATGTTACACTGATGGGCACTGCTCATTCTACTGGGTGTCTACCCTTCTACCTCACTAAAGATGGCGTAAGCTGAACCATGTTTGGGTGACAACTAAACACATGAGAGAGTAGATAAACCCAGTAGAACGAGTAAGTGCTGATCAATTTACACGAACATGACTGTTGAGTTCATTCTAATGAATTATATTTTCCAACTAACTTCATACTTTGTTGGTACTCGGCATACAACAAATAAACAATTAGGATTTGTTCGTTGTTCTTCTTGTTGGTGAAGTTGGAGTGGTATTGCGGTCCATTTTTGAATTCAGGAAGTTGTTGCGTCTGTCTTAACATAGCAATCAATAGTTTCATTAATCGACTTTTTACGATACTTTGTTAGATGCCACGTGGGCTTTAGGAACAGAAAATAAAAAAGAAGATTGCTTTCAGGAAAAGGAAATTCATTACGAGTGTATTTGCATTCTGAATCAGAAATAATAATTAGCTGATTTCGCTCATTTGCAGAACTATGTGACAGATAATTATTTAGTTTAGTTGAGAACCCCCTAAATTGGATTGTTGAGCTTTTCGTGCTAACGCCATACCGAGGAATTTTGCCACGTGACATAACTCTAAACCTGTTGGGGTTGGTATGGTTTTTTTGTCCACATATCCATTTCAAACTAATGACCTTTACATATTCAGCTAGGTGTTCCAAACAGTGATGATTGCCGTGTGACATTGGTTTTTTTCCTTCTTTTCTGATAGACTGTTAAGAGAAATCACGTATATGACTGGCCACAACACTAAATATCCCGGATAAATTGGAAATCCGAGTATCTCTCATGGTTAATTCCGGTATATCAGTCAGCATAAAGGTCTACTTTGGCTTAGAGAACTCATTTTTTTAAAATGATTACTTATTACTATACTTTATTGAAAGTTTCCACCACATAAAATAGCCTTTTTTCATTAAGCGCTTGTTAAAAATTTCTGGTGATTTTCAGATCCGTTCTATCGTAGATTTGGTAAGTGAGAGGTCTAACCTGTTGATAAGCTTTAGGTTGGCATGCATTTGTTGTGAGTTCAATGAGCCACCATCTTTTGAAACTCTTCGTTGCCTGATACTATGAATACATATTACTTACGAATATAATTTAATTTGTACTGGAAGTCCTGTTCTAACTTATTTGAAAAATTATTTTCTGTTGTCTTACTTTATTGCGAGGTCGGTATTTTTTTAAGCTATTTGGCCATGGACAGTTCATCTTTGAAAATAAATGAAAATGATAAAAGATTTATGTCCATTTTTAACACGGTTTACTCAAGAGTCACGGTAGTTCCGGCTGTTTATCACCCCGAAATGTTTTGTTTACATATTTTCATAACAGTTTTCAAACTGTCGCCGCTTTAAAACTTTGACGGCTTAAAGTATATTCTTATCTCTATCTTCGTTTATCGTCCCCAGTGTCGATAATTTATAGGCTAGGCGCGTCGTTTGGGCGGCGTGAAAGCTTTTTATTTCTTTCCAAGAAACTTATCTGTAAAAGAACTCAGGTCCAATATTTATTTCCCCTGAATGGGTTGGAACAGACCCTGAACTCTTGACAGTTGGGACGGACCCTTAATGTAATTACATTTTCAGCATTCCATATCTACGTCCAGTCTGCAGCTATTGATCCAATAGAATGTCCATTTAATATTATTAGCCGAATTTTTATACGAATGAAATGTTATATTGGAACGTGAAAAGGTTTATTAGCCTAGAGATAAAAGATTTTACAATATTTATCAGTTTTTTCTTAAATGATTGGGCTGTTTAAGTTGGATTGCAAACGAAATGTCTGGCCCTACAAAAAGAAAAAGGCGAGATAAAAATTGATTTATTTTATCCAACTCGCATCAAACATTTTCTTATTAACATACTCATCAAACGAACACTGGATGAAGGTATGGTCTTGCAGAAGAAGAAAATAAATTTAGTTGTTAATGCCAAGCTTTCGACTTTCTTAAGGACATCGAAAGCTTGGCATTAGCAATTAAATTTGCTTTCTTCTAACTAAATACCATACCGTGGTCCAGAGTGTTCGTAAGTGAATTATTGGTCGATAACTACACTTCTAATGTGGAAAGACCCATACTCAACGTGACACACACACACACACACACACTCTAAACCACTTTCTCTCTTTCTCTCTCTCTCTTTCTATCTCTCTCTCTCTCTCTCTCTCTCTCTCTCTCTCTCTCTCTCTGCATATATACATAAATAGGTACATATAAGTATGTTTAACGAACATAAAAAGGCTCATAATTGTAAACCTCACTAAGAAATTACAGCTTTCATATTATCGGCAGGGGAGGACGATTCAACAAAGAAACGCCAATTTGTTGTCATCGGAGTGTCATTATCGTGCACAGTAGGGCGGAACGGATCTGGGAAAATGGTAAATAAAAGATCGATAAGGGAAATTGTACAAAGTGGAAAGGTGGAAGACACGGACCGTGGTCAGGAGTGTTCATTCATGGAACAAGAACAATAGGGAGTGTGTGGGAAATGGCAACAGGTGGTTCGCTACGGACATTGGAACAATCGGTTCCTTTTCATTTTGGCCCATTTGATCCAAGGGTGTGTCTTGCCTTCAACTTCTTCCAGAAAGGTTCGCCTAATCAATATCATTAGGATTTCGTTCTGGAGATAGTCAAGTGTTTTATAAAAGTTATAATACATATAAAAATAGAAAGATCAGATTATTATTTCTCATTGTTTTAACTTGTACATTTGATTGTTCCTATGTCCAGTGATTACGTAGGAATGTTTTGAAAACAAATAGTGTCTTTCATCATGCTTTTGTTATTTATGTGTCATTCTCATACTCTTCCGCGTTATAACTCTACTTTTAAACAATTCTATCTCATTTTTGAAATGATTAATTACAGATATATATTGTTTTTTCCTTATAAACAATTGTTATCTAACATCCCTACTTAAAATTAAAATGAAAGTATTGGCCATTTGTCGTAAATTGTTGATATATGGGGGCGTTTATCATTGTTGATGGTTTTTGATTAAGAACTGAAGCTATGCTTTGTCTGATTTTTACTGTAAAAAGGTCAAAAGTTGTATTGCAGCTTACTTTGTATCCTGGACACGCGATCCAGGAGAAATTGAGGCAATAAGTCCCAAGTGTAACACCCAACGCTGAAAGACGGTTTCTTTACGGTACTTTCCTC